CAAATCAAAAACAAACACCCCCTTACTACTATTTTCATAAAGCACATGTAACCTATTTGGATTCCATTATCTTCAAAACAAATTTTTAATCAAACATTTTTTTTTTACCATATAATGAGTTTTTGAAAATAGTGTATTTTGAAATAGTCATTTTTGGGACGTGGTTAAAAAAATAAAGAAAAAGTTTTGATTTACATATATTATTTTATTAAAAAATGCTATGTTGAAAACAAGAGAGAAAAATATATTAAAAATTTAATGGGGGGTCAAACCTTAACCACACCCTCTCAAAAAATCACTATTTCTAAAATACATTTTCTACTCTTGCTTGAGCTCCATTTTAATGAGGTTTTAGAGAAAAATGTATTTTAGAATAATGATTTTTTTAGAGAACGTGTGTTTAAGCCCCTATTTAAAAATTATTATTTTTAAACTCTTTTTTCTATATACTTATTTTCAAATATATTAGCATAATAAAATATTATGCACGTAAATCCAAAAAAAAAATCATACTTTTTAACCATAAATTATTCTAAAAATCACATTCAAAACTCTACTTTTCCCAAATAATGATTGTCAAATAGGGGCTAAAAAGGAAAAAAAAAAAAGTTTTGGAATTTACATATAATATTATTTTATTAAGAAATGTTTGATTAAAAAGAAGAAAGAGAAAAATATATTAAAATTAAAATGAAATCCAAATAGATGAAGCCCAAATAGAGGTGTAATGTTACTTGTTTATCAATTTTTTGTTTTTAAATATATATTTTATAAAAATTTATATTTTTTTTCTCACTTTTAAATAACATGTTCTAAAAAAAGTCATAATAATTTCTATTAATAAATTGTGTGAAACAAGTGCACGACTGAAAATGTTTTGTAAAATAAATTCGTTCTACAAGCATATCATTGTTGAATGTATTTAAATATTTTGAATTATTATTTAATTCTAACACATTACAACAAAAAAGGAAAATATAGGTTTGGGCTCTATAACATTTTAATTAGTGCGGTTTTTAGTTCACAAAATATTTAAATACGTGACCTTATAGTTGAAAGCAAAAATTGTCAAACCACTTCACATTCAGATTTGAGTCACGTGCAATTTTAATACCCATAAAATCCCACTTTTGAAGGATAGATAACCAAAATCGAGTTACAAGTTAGAGAGTTCAACCCTAACTTTTTTCAATTAAAAGATATGTGTGTACTATATTTTATAGAATACAAAGCTTTCATGAAAAATTTATAGTTTGAAATAAGTCTATTGGAAATGTTATATTCTTCTATTTTACAATTATTCATTTAATCTTGACTCTTTGTGCAATCTCATATAATCTTGTCGAGTTTTATTCTTATTTTGTTTGTAATTATATTAGTTTGTTCATATTTTTTACTAGGAAAATATTTGTGAACATTTCCAATTATATTCTCGCACATTTTTCTTTTCTAATTTCTTGATATTCCGAAAGTTTTATTTTTTATTAATTGCATTTTATTTCTTTCGACGATATCATTATTAAAGGAGAAAAAAAATTATTACCTTCATAATCACATAACTTATCAACTTTTATCGGCACGTGCAAGTAATGATCAACTAAAACATGTCCAAAATAATAGAACATTACCATATTTTATTTTATTTTTTTCCTCTGAACAACTAGAAAAATGAAGGGGGAAAAGATAGATAATTTTATCCATATGAATAATATAATATTGCTACTTTATAGAAACACATCATACGAAATACATTAAACAGTTGGATGTCCCTATGAAACTAATTTTTTTTTCTTCGAACAATTGGTGGTTACATGATTTACATTATCGATTAGGGTTTTAAAGATTGTCACTCGTAACCTCGCATTTAAAAATAAATTATATATCTCACTTCTTCAACTATATGGGGCCTTTTATAAAGATTAAAGAGGTTAACGTGTGTTGCGCATTATTTGGATAATGTTAAAAATAAGTGTGTGTAAATATGAGAGAAATTCATTTGTAAACGTGAAAGATATTCATACATTGATTGAAATTAACTTATTTTTCATCTCTTTTTCGTTTTATATTTTTCACTCATCTTCGATTATCTCATAATCTGAGTCAGATTCTATTTCTTCCATTATTCTAATG